CTCTCTCTCTCTCTCTCTCTCTCTCATTATTTCATCTAATAAACATATGTACATATAATTCAAATCGAACAAGCTGTTCAAGCAACACCGATTAACACCTAGATTCTCCTTCAAGCTGTAAAGTATATATATTCTAATAGCCTCTTTTATAAAATATTATAAATTCTAATTTTGCATTTAAAAATATTTTGTATTTTAAAAAATAAACTTTAACAAATTGAGATCTATACATGATCAGTATATATTTATATGCACATATGATGTCTTTAAATTTAGTTATACACACACATCAATATATCCATTAACCCCTCATAGCTACAGGGTACAACGAACACAACCACAGAACAGTTGTTTCTCGGCACAGACGCCAGTCTGGGATCAAGTGAGCGGCGAGTCTGGATTGGGGGAACGGGTTGAGCGACTACAGAACCGAATCGTTACTTTGMATGAGTCACACCTTTCGGGGGATTTGTTGTAACGAAAGAGCGTAGAAACGAGCAATCGGCAAAAGAGACGCAAACAAGTCAAAATGGGAGAGCGCAAGGGAAACGCCGATGGCGTGACAGTTGTGTGGGTAAGCGGCTTACACGATCGGCAGCAGTTGCAGGCTGGAAGCTGGAAGTTGGACGATGGAAGTTGAAAGTTAATGCCCACAATTCATGTCAAAGGAAGAGGGAAACAGGCTTTAGCTTTGACGGCTACCGAAATTAATAAAGATCTTGCTCCGACTGTCCCTAATGAAGCTGAGTTGTAATCAGGCGACTTCTCTATTAATATGAAAATGATCTACTTTGCCACCCAGAAGCAGTTAGAGTTGAAATACATTTTATTACTTCTTTTATGGAGAATATCTTTATGTTATAGATAAATGATAATCATGCTACGTTTTTACTATGCTCCTCTTATCTGGAAACACAACAGCTTCAACCAATTCAGTTGTAAATGGATAAGAACGAGAAAGGGAACAACTCAGAATGTGTTAATCGGGAATACCCGGCTAGGAAATACCCAGAGCTGTATGCAAGTCTGATGACATATTCCTATAAATATTGTTTATTTCACTGAGAATGCATATATACACTCACTTAGACTAACTATTGTTGAACAACTTTTGTTTGACATGCACTTTCGTAATGCAATTTTCAGAGCGTAATGATTAGTACCGATAAAAAAAATAATTGGAATACTTAACAAAATTATAATATAATAAGCTGTACTATTTAATACAACCGAAGATCTGAAAAGGTCTTCCGACTTTGTAGCTTACGAATTTTATTTAAAACACAACATGGGCAGATCAATTCAGTTGATCGCCCTGATAAGGAATATAGTGTACTTAATGGGATATACCAGGCCTCGTTTTTTCTGTTGCGTATATTTTCGGAAAACCATGTTACCCTGAATTCCCATCCCAGATGGATTCAGGGTATATAAACTGTCATATCGTAGCAGACCCATTAAACTCAAGCAATCAGCAAACTTTTAGCACATTTCCATAAATAACAAAAGGCAAAAAACGTTCATAACCCGTTTGTAGAGTGTTTACAAGCCAATCAACCTTGTTGCAAACTATTGAGAAAGAGGAGTGAGCAACAGCTGAAGCCAAGCTGTCGAATGAAGTTCAAGACAACGACGACAACAACAAGAACAACAGCAACAGCAATAGCAACAACCAGAGTTGAAACAATAACAATAAAAAACACTGGCAAGTGGACAGGCACGACGACCTACTATTTGGCCTGGCCAGTAAGCATAAAGCCAATACTTTAATGGCGCCAGACACATCCTGAGTTTGTAACTGGAACGAAAGAGTCGTCGATCGGAAAATCCAAGCTAACAGCGCAGCAAAATAAAACGCGTCATGAAAAACCTACTCTTCGATGGGTTTGAGAGCAACAGAGAAACGGAGATGAAGACAGAAAGAGAATGAGAGGGGCATCAGGCAAAAATAAGTAGGACTGCGACAGCAATAACAACAATCACGAAGGCGGCCACAAAAACAGGATGCGCATGCGCAGCAGCAAAACAGAAAGCAAAAGGTGAACGTGAACCTCATAATGAAGTTGAGTGGAGGTAGAATAAATACACATAAAAAAGCGAAATCAAAGAAATCAACAAATAAACATAAAAGGAAACGTATCTCAGAGCTGACACACACAGGCACACACGCACAAACGCACACACACATGCAAGAAGCAACGTACAAGAGCGATAAGAGCGGCGCACAAAGCAAGGGAAACRCTAAGCGAAACGACTAAGCGGCAGAGSGAATAAAACAGCAGCAGTGGCAACAGCWGATAKAGAGAGCGAGRMGAAGAGCGGGGGAAATGGCAAACGATAAACGTCATCGAGCAGATTATGCTGCATAAATTATCAAATGCAAAAGACAGTGCCAAAAGGGAGCGCCGCAGATGAGCGCAGACAGATGAAACGAGCAGCGAGAGCGTAAGAAGAGCGTAAACGATGAAGAGCGAGAGAGAACACGGGAATGGCTGAGGCGCAGGTAAACATTACGCGCTGTAAATAATTGTAATTTACGAACAGGGAACTGGCTCTGCATCAGCTCTACCTGAGGGAGCGGCAGTGCCAAAGAGCTAAAGAACCTAAAGCAGAGGCAGGCAATGGCAGCAGCAGCAGCGGCGGCAGCGACAGCGACACAGCGCAATAGCAAACAAGAAGAGCACGTACAAGAAATTAGCAAACAGAAGAAGAGAAGTAAAAGCGAAACGTCAACCCCGACGCTCGCGCACACACAACTCGCAGGCACAAGTATTATGATTATGAAGCTAGGCGGCTGATCATAATGATGAATGGCCAGCAGCCAGAGCCAGARCCAGACGTGTAGCGTATACATAGATGAAAAACGAAAAACGATGAAAAAAATAAAACCCTGTGGCAGTTGTAGACTTACTCACACACACACACAGGCAGACATCCATACATACAGAAGTTGGCTCCATGGACATTGGGACCACGCGTAACGCGTTTCTTGTAATCGTGGCCAGAATCGTAAAACGTGATCGAGTGCCTTATGTACTATACATTGGCCATGGGCTTTAGCAGAAACTGTTGTTGCTGCAGTTGTTTTTGTTGCTGCTGTTGGCACTATTTATACTCAGTACACAGAAAATGGGATAAAACAGGGGTATATATAGGTAGATAGTTTTGCAAATAGTGCTGAGAAGGTAAAGATAACGAAAAGTGTAGAGATACATACATATTTACATATGTATGATATTATAAAAATTCGGTGTGTACGGAGAAACCTTAATAGATCTGTATTAATTGTAATAATACTTTTCTAATAAATAAATCATATTTTTACAGCATCCTTACATCCCTAAGTAAAATTCATACCTAAAATTATTTTCAACCAGTTACTCTCGTAACAAATATAGGGTATCCATATGTCTGTCAGGTTATCCTGCTACAGTCTCAGTTCATTTTTGATCTTGTTTGGTTTATTTCTTTTTCTTTATTTTTTTATATATTTTTTTTTTTCTTGAACACGTATCGTGTAGTATGTAGTCTGATTATTTTTGTTTTTTTTTTTGTATTTTCTGTGCGAGCCAACAGCGTTTTCATTAGGGAAATACACATGCACAGCTACAAAAACAACGACAAAGACAATGAGACAGCGATGGAAAGAGGGTGAGGGAGGGAGGCGAAACAACAATAGTTTATATTTTGCCTGGCTACTAACGTGAATGTTGTTTTTGTTGTTCTAGCTGCGCGATTCAGTCTCAATTTCGTTTTATTCCGCCGTCCCTGCCGCCTCTGCCCTTGCTCCCTTGTTCATCTTGTTCTCGATTCCCTGTTCCACACGTTGGCATAATTTACAGTTCTTCAGAGAAATTTACATGCGAACTGAGGTCTGGAATCGTTTCGTTCCCTTGTCTCAGCTAGTCGCAGTTGTGGGTCAATGAATCAATGAATCAGCGCATGGATGTTTCCATTTAACAGCTGTGCGAATTTTGGATTAAGATGGAATCGTTATGGATTGKAGAAGATCGAATATTTATAAACTAGTTCAAATAGTTTGGCATCAGTTTACAAGCGATCAGGTTAGATAGATGACTTTATAAAGATCATTTGGCCTAATGAAGTGATCAAGTTTACTTAATTTAGTTTGACGATAAAAAGAAATAATCCTAAATTCAATATTAAGATATTGCGATAAATATAACAATAGATATATTGCTAAAAAGTTTGTATCTCAGCTAAAAGAAATCCACAAAATATATTTCAGAAGAAGTTACAGATTTTACATTAGTCAGGTTATATACATATGTTTGTATGTATGACTAATCTAAAAATGAGTCTGCTATCACTAGGCGGCACGTTCTCTGGGTTTTTATCATACCATTCAAGGGAAGACAGAAAACAGACATTTGTTTGGTTAACTACCCGAAAACAAATACAGACTGATAGGTATTTTCCAGAACTTCTGAAAGAATTTCAATATCGGAAGTACTTTTAAAAACAGCTTTATATCATATACTAATATACATAAATAGAGAAGATAAAACTATATAATTGTTTCAGAGAAAAATAAAATTTTGGCCGGTCTCAATTTTGTTAATTCTTATTCTCATTATTTAAGCATCGTATTTATGAGGTGTGGATTAAAAAAGCATTAAAGCTCAGGTAGCTACAATCTCCGTAGAAGGCTGTCAAGTGTCACCTGTCTCACTTCATAAACAAAAAATTAGCATGGAGCCAAAGCGAAAAGCTCGTATAATCTCAGATATTATCAATTATTAACAGCACGCCCACGTAACGGACACGCCTACCCACGCCTACAACTCAACATTCCATGCGAAGCAGCAAAAAAAGAACGAATCGAAAAAATACCAATTAGCCGAGACGGGAAATTTTTTTTAGAATCGATCGAGCGGAATTACGCGCATAATTTAGAGGCCATAATATCACGATTGGCAAAGCGGCCAACGCGATTGTGGAACAGGTTCCATGTTTTGGATGGGATGGGACTGTTGGGGCTGTGGGGCGTGGCGTGCAGAGTTGATTAGAAATTTAGTCACTTACCGCTTTTGAGACGATCGTTAATTAAATCCTCAATCAGCTGCGGACACTCGCACTCGATGGCATAGCAGAACTGCTTGAACTTCTCAAAGCCGCTCTTGGCAATGATCTCGATGAGRTTGGCGCACTGGACGCGCAAAATTTCGGCATCGTTTAGAGCTTCGGTAGCAGCGCTGCCGACGCCGACGCCGCCACCCACAGATGGCGTTAGCGAGCGATTGTCACTTTGGGCATGATCACCATTGACACTGGCGCTGCGCGAGGAGCCAGCCAGGCTGGAGCTGTAGTCCCCACCTACACCACTGACGCTAGCGCTGCCACCGCTGCCACTGCCGCTGCTGCTGCTGGCGACAGCGCTGAGCTTGCGCTTTGTCAAGGCGCCCACACTAGATGGCGCACTGCCTGGTGGCTCGACGGCGGTCTTCAGCAGCAGATCCTCCTCGGACTGGCTGAGCACGGAGTTCTTGACGAGCACCGCTATTAGATCAGTGCTGCCCAGATCGAGCATGATGCGCTCCTGGTGACGCGACAGCAATAAGCGCACTTCTTCCTCTTCTTCGCGCGTCATTTTGACGTTTTATTTGATTTGCTTCTTTCTAGGCTTCTTCTTATTTCCTGCTGTTTGCAATGCACTTTTATTTATTGCACTTTAACACATTTACACACACTCACTCCCTATTGTTGTTGTTGCTGTTGTCGTTGCTATTTAGCATGCATATTCGTTTGATTATCATTGAAATTTATAAAATATTATGCATAGTATTTGTTGTTATTCGAAACGCAAAAAACACAAACGCGCGCCATTTATTGGCGCTTACGCCGTTTAATTCGTTGCTCCGCTCGCACAACGTTCGTTCAACAAAGTCAGAAAGTAACTGAATAACTGAAAAACCGGCTCAGCTTGAAACAGCGACATAGTGTCTCACACAAACCTAAGAGAGCCAGAGAGCGAGAGCGTAAAACGCCCGCACATTACGGAGAGAGTAACGCACAGTGTAACATTGTTTGTACTCTAAGAGAAAATCTGAAGATCTGCGAACATCAGTATATGAAGAACAACAAATTATATTTGACTATTTGCTTAAATAATTCATTAATTCCTAAAATAGGCCTGTTATTTTATATTTTATATTTCAACATATGTAATAAATTCAAAGTTTAATATTTTGAGCTGAAAGTCATTATATCAAACCACTGTTCGTCGCTGGCAATTGTGGTTGTTTCTCTTGCATTGGCCCTGCAGCTGCAATTGTAAGCGATAACAGTGTATTGTAGTATGTGTTAGCAATGTGTATGTGCGTGCGAGTGTGAAACAACAAAGTCAAACAAAACGTAATTGCATTTGCTCTGCATCTCTCACTCTCTGTCTTTTGGGAAAACAAAGAAATTGTCTTTGCGCTATTAAGCAGCATGTCTTACGAATATCGTAACGCAATCACGTAAGCAATATACGGTTTGAAATGGTGCATTTTTCAAAGAAGAAATTTTAGTTAAAAATTTCGTTTACTATTTTCAGAGAGTAATTAAAAATTGAAAATTTAATATATCAAATCATAAATATATCTGAAAACCTTTAACATCTACAGTTAAGAACACACGAACACTCATAATCCCCTAGCCAATGACCACAAAGAGTTATAATTATATGCATTTTTGCTGCTTCTGGCTCGATTGAATGGATTGCCAGGTTCGTAACAGATGTTACTTCAGCCGGAAAGCAAACGAATAAGGATAATTGCAGGAACAGACAGATCGAACTGCGAAACAACAATCAAAAACGAAAAAGGTAAAAATAATCGTAGAATACAAATAAAAATGTTAAATAAAAAAATCTTATAAAAGAAAAAAGTAAATGATAAGATAAATATAATACTAGAAAATATATTTCAGTATTACAATCAAATATAAAAATAGTTATAAATA